AGGTTACAAACGTATGCTCCTTTTCTATGTGCTCTATGTTGTCTGGCACATTATTACAGACCACAGTACAGTAATGGAGATCTGGGACACTGACCTTGGTTGCAGTTGTGTCCCTCACTGGAAGCCTGCTGCAGCAGCCCACGGCAGGCTTTTATGAATAAGCAAACACACTCAGCATTATAATGCTACCATGGAGACCTGACCCTAGCCACAGCTTCAACCTCTTGGCTCCACCTATCACTGTAATCCCATACAATCCTTTATTTCAATGAACAGGAGTAGCAGGGGATCTGAGCTCCAGCCTATGAGTTCATCTGAATGGCATCTCTATGAATGCAGTACACTAGCTATGATATGCAAAGAGCTCAAATACTGTGTGACTGCTGCTTAAAAAAAAAAACCTTGATGGGGTAAATATAAATCATGATAACATATTAACATCAATATATCACTATAGAACTATTTTTGCATTAACACTTGACCATGAGAAAAAGGTTACCCAACCATCTGCAAACACCATGTTGAAGTGTCTCTTTAGAATGGAGGATGACTATCCAACCTGATAAGCTAAATGCCACCCATTAGGATGATTAAAAAAGAGCCCGATTATGCAAAGCTTGAAATGAATGGGAAGTAACAGAATCCTGTGTGTCTAGCTATTTGTGTGGTTAGTCCAAAGATTGAAAACACATAATCACAATCTCTCTCCCTTTTTTCTTTCTTTATCGAATGTGCAAGAAGATCTAGTAACATTTCTATTTCTCACTTCTACTCTCATAAATTATGTTCATAATCTTATTGACCTACTCTGGTCCAAAATCCAAGAATTCGTTTTTAACCTCATTGCAAAACATCAGTCTAAAAGACCTTGGTCCTGAGATTCTTTTTTTGTAAAAAATAAATATGCATTATAATAGGAACAGATTTGATACAGTGATACGGTGAATTATGTATCTGTCTTTTGCTTTAATGCATCAGTTTTTTATTATTTAAAATGCTGTATGGTCTAGTGTAATATATTCCAGTTTGTACAATAAAAACCTGATTATTAGGTAATGTAAGCTTACAGATAAGACAACTTTATGGTTTGGACATAAAGTTGTCTTATCTGTAACATTAAACAAATTGCTATGTATTTTCCAAAAGAGGGAACACCATCCTCACCTTCTCACTGGTACAAATAATTTGGCACACATAATGCACCTCTGTTGTAAATTAAAAATTTGTAAATTACAAAAAGATATAACTTCCATTTTTCTCTTATAGGCAAATGTGATCATACACAGAGAAAAGTTTACTAGTCACCAATGTCTGTCCTCTGTAACTCTGGTTTTATATCAGTTTTGGTGTTTCATGCCAGAATTTTGGATAAAGAAAATAGCCTTCTGATAGTCATCTTCTGTTGGCTAACACTAATAAAGGCCCTGTTTAAATAACACAGTGAGCAGTGATAGCATTAATGAGACAGAGGAGCACTGTCTGCTTTTTCTAGAATAAAAAGAGTAGGAAACCGAACAAAAAAACGTCCCTTCATGAACATGATAACAACGTAGGGGCTTCTGTTTTGTATAATTTGCATTTCAGATTCTCCAATCCCACTCCATGTGAAACTCAGTGACAAGCAAATCCTGTATCCACTTACAGTTGGCTGAGTCAAATGAGCAAAGCACCCAGTTAAACGAATAGGCTAGTTAACCCTAAAAATAAAAACTTTGTCAATTTTTGATTCTGTCAACACATAATGTAATGTAATTGTAATGACAAGAGGGTGAGTAAATTATGACAGAATTCACATTTTGAGGGGAACTAATCCTTTAATTTAGCAATTCTGGATAGAGGATACACAATGGGAAAACGTGAAAATCTATATGAGGAGATTATTCAATTATCAATTATTCAATTGTATTGCAATGTAGAGAGAAAAGAGAAGGAAAGTGTGAGCAACAGACAGAATGGTGATAAAGACATGTCCCAAAAATGAGATAACTTTGAAAGAAATGAACAAGCAACAGTGCTAAACCCTTGCAGCGATCATACCATAGGTGTACTAACAATATCTATGCTATTAGAAGAATGTTGTCCTTATCTATTCTCAGTTAATAGGGTTTCATCCCAATAGCTATCAATTCCATACCACAAGTCTTTCTATATTGGCCATAAGAGTCAATCAGAGGAAATCTGAAAGATCTATGCCAAACACTCATAACATATATTAGGAGGTTTTCATCCACATTTCTAATTGAAATGTAATGAGTACAGCATATGTTCAACTCGCTACAGCAAGAAACAGCAGATTTTAACTCCTAGTATCAAATTAGTTTGAATCATACTGAGTGGAATAGTCAGGGCAAGTAACAAAATTTACTTCTCGAAGTTATTTTGTAGCATTTTAATGATTAATTAAGTACTTCACATAAGAGAACACACTATAGTGTAAAAAAAAAAGAACATCAAAAGCATTTCACCTTTGAATAAAAGTAATGTCCACTTTTGGTCTCTGTGACACTAAATGTGGTCCATGTTATCAGTGATGTGATTGCTTTGTCACAGAACAGCCTAGCTGTAACACCAGTGCAACAGTACAGAGCACAATACAGTAGCTAAGTATTGCACACTATTGAGTAAAACCTTCTTAATTTATTTCTCTAATCACTACCACTTCCCATCATTTGTTTGTTACCTATTTATAATGTCTAGTTTATTCATAGCAATTGAATTGAACCTTTAACACATTTACACACAATGCAAACACATTCACACAGACCGAAGTAACAGTGTCTTCCACACTCTGATGCAGTACAAGGAAGGCGCCGAATTAAACCAACCTGAAGGCTGATCCGGCTGTCAGAGACGGCATGTCACAGTGATCACACATCCTCTCAGTCTCTCTCTGTTTTTTTTTCTGTCTCTATCTCTCGCTGCTTAATCACAGCTGGGACTGGCTATCCCTTACAGCTGCTTGCCAGAGGCTCTGACTGACTCCTGCCACCTCCCTTTGCATTACGGCATTCATTCAAACTCACTGGTAGTTTATCAGGCTACGGTAACATGGTTCGACATTTATGTTGACGCTTGAAAATATCTGTTGTCTGAGAAACAAAACAGTCCAAATATTCTACCACATGCATCCTGTCCATTTGAAAGCCATTGATTTGTTTAAAAAGCATTCAATATAAATTCTTCAGCCGTATTGTGCCAGCAATGATGAGCACTTATGTATTCCTGCACAGAAGAACAACGATGCAAAACAGTAGTAGCCTTACAGCTGCTTGCCAGAGGCTCTGACTGACTCCTGCCACCTCCCTTTGCATTACGGCATTCATTCAAACTCACTGGTAGTTTATCAGGCTACGGTAACATGGTTCGACATTTATGTTGACGCTTGAAAATATCTGTTGTCTGAGAAACAAAACAGTCCAAATATTCTACCACATGCATCCTGTCCATTTGAAAGCCATTGATTTGTTTAAAAAGCATTCAATATAAATTCTTCATCCGTATTGTGCCAGCAATGATGAGCACTTATGTATTCCTGCACAGAAGAAAAACGATGCAAAACAGTAGTAGACTTATCATCCACAATAACACAAAATACTCATTTGTGTTTACTGGCCAGACTTTCTATCCTCAATACATTGCAAGCATTTAATAGAAATAATTGTTCTGAAGAGGCTGTTGCAGAGAGATTATTCATAGGATGTTTCTGTATAGCAATTCTATGGCTGTCACTTTGCTGAGATATGGCGAAGGCAAAGAAAACAACACACACAGGCGTTAGTATGAATTGTCCTGAAAAGAAATGTAACTCATCAACAGGTTGAAATAAGCACACAGCCTCTCTGTCAGCCTCTATGAAATAGTGTTGATACTGACTACATTATTGCAATTATCTTGGATTAACAGTTGCAAACAGCTTTTTTCTTGTGCTTTACAGAGGCAGAGGTGGATTGTTAGGAGTGGAGATGTATCACAAATGCAAATGTCCAATGTCATCATTATTGGCTATGATAATGTAGTAAAATACAAATTGCTCATGTAATAATTAAATATGGCCCTTACATCAAAAGGCCTGTCCGTTGTTGAGTGTGTTTCAACACCACGGACAGCGAGCACTGATTCCGTGAGCTGCAATCCTTTGCCAAAACACGCCACCTACTTATTCACCAGATTATCTGAGCCATTTAAACGACAACTTCCAAGCTCTCGGTAAATGTTTGACCATTAATTACGCAAAGCAACACATACGTAAAGAACACGGCAAGATCGCTTCCTTATCAGCACACAGCAACTATACACAGTGTGCCATTTTTTTTTCGTCGCCCAGGCGCAATCCATTTAAGATTACAGCGGGAGCTCGAAAATTAACCTTAATGTCAAGTTTATGGCGGTTAAGAGGGCACCCTGTTGCAGCGTGCGCAGAGTGCTGTGCAAACAAGACCAATGAGCGAGGGAAAATACTCTTGTGAGAGATTAGCTGAGAAAGCACCGCTGCCCTATTAGCGTTATTGAAATGTACTCAGTGTGGTGGACGTGAATGAACACCTGGCGGAGCAGCTCTATATTCAGTTCAGAGAGACGCACCTGCGCGCTATAGAATGACGCACTTACGTTGAACAGATTGGCTGTGCGGCGTTTTGTGCATTGACACAGTAACCTTGAATCTGCAGCAACATTTAATTTCCTCCGTAAGATTAGACCAGAACAATGGATTTTGCTTTGATTGCGCTCCCCAGCGAGGAATAAATTGAGAAACGAGGAAAGGAAAAGTTTAAAAGCTTGTCTGATTTTTCACTCTCAAACGGTCTTAGAAATGACATGCCTGCAAAGTTGGCACCACCAACAGATACGAAATGCGGAAAAAACAGAATACAATAGGAAATGTACTTTTCCCCACTAAAACATCACCACGTTAGGCTACTGTCACCAGTTACCATGACGACTGAGAACGAAGAGCCAACTCTATTCAATGAAAACGAGAGATCCAGATAATAAAGCCCTACCTTGCATTCTTCCATGCACGTCCTTACTGAGTACACATCCGTCTCGTATTTGTCTGCCATCATCTCAAATTCCTCATATTTCTCCTGCGCGTGCAGGTCATAACGCTGGTACGCCTGAACGCACAGACTGCACCTGTTTAGGTCGCCATCCACGATCACGTCAAGGCTGCAGTTCAAATTGTCCGGACTTAATGATCCATAAAGCAAATCCATAAGAGAGTACGAATTACAAAAAGAAAGGTACAAATCGCTTATGTTCATCCACCGCGTCCCCTCCGTTTCCGAAAGGCCCCTGCACAAGTGGTCAGCGTCGACAAAAGTGAAGCAGTTTTCAGACAAACCATCCGGGTGGCAAGTTTCTAGTTGCCACAAAGGTTTGGTAGAATTGACTACAAAATTAGCATCTTCATTTCTTCTGAGGCTGCTGTGTGTTGAAGGGAGGTCGGGTCTGTGGTTTGCGCTCATGTCCACTGAAGCGAACTTGTCTCGGGTCCTTGTCAGTTTGGCCTCGGCGCAGAACCACAGATTATCAGAAAGCAGAACGGTTAGAAATAAGAGGGACGCTAAGGACAATCGCCATCGCTGGGCCCTCTCGGAGTCGGTGAATGGCTTCTCGTTCTCGCGGGGAGCACACCAAATTTTTAAGCCGTCATCTCGCTGCCGACACTTCCAAGCACCGCTGGTCATATTTTGGGAAAGCGCAGCTCTGGCTGACTCCACCGTGGGGGCTTTTCTGCCACAATAGTCATTGACGGGAGGTCTGCCTTGAGTTTTGCCCACTAAACGATGGCTGACGAGCGGTCGTGGCTCACCTCCGCGATTAACTGCAATTCCCGATCAATTGCTGTGTTCAAGGGGATTACTGCTTTCATTGTCGAATCCCCTCTCCCCGTGCTGCTCCTGAGAAAAACCCAGCTATCTGTAGCAACATGTCTCTCCCTGCTCGTCTGTCATGGGTTCCGCTCTCCCCTTTTGCGCAGAGCCGCTACAACGCGGAAAAGCCACTGTCTGGCCGCTCGCTCTGATTCCGGGCTTTCTGGTGAAAAGCGCAAGGACTCCTCGTTTCAACACGCCGAATCTCGCCTCCTCGGTCCGACAAGGTGGGATCTTTTCTCGCGAAATGATCCACAGTCATTTTGGCCAAACGTTACGTTGCCGCCATGTTCGTTTTGAATGAGTTCTTGAAAGAGAGCAGGGTCATTTGCGTCAACTCATGCAATGTGATTGATCCATCATAGCCACCCGGCCGATTTGCAAACTGCTCATATAGGATGTACTGATACACCGTAGCAAGAGATGGTTGATGTTCAAGAAAATAAGCCCTCATAATCATCACTTTAGAATCTATAATACATCAACAGGTTGAACAGCTGCACAAGGGCTTGTACACTGTGAAACTATTAATTATTGCTTGAAACCAACATTAGATGTCAGATAGCCTATATTCAATGCACTCCATGAAGTGAGGATGTCAAGATGTTTCCTTATAAAGCTTAATTAATAAAGATGTTACCGTATAAAAATGACTTTCATTGGCATAACTATAGCAGTCAGGTAAATTCAATCATATTCAATCATATTAAATCATATTATATTTTTACTTTAAAAACAGATGTTACCACATGAAGTACATTTTAGGTTTACTGACAAAACACAACACACAGCAAAAGGTGGTAACCTGCAATTATTACTTTAAAGATATATTTCTACATGATTTAACCTATATAAAGTAGTTTTGGTATAAATAGACATATGTAGGTTGATTCACCAATAATCGTTTTTTTTTTTTTTTACTTAAATTAAACCATTTAAATTAGATGTTGCAATTATTATAGGTGGACTCATTCTTGTAATGCATAACATAATGGAGCATAAATAATAATAATAATAAAAAGTCTAACAGAATATGGGCAATAATATTTTCTTAAAGGTTTAATTCACCCAAAAATGAAAATTCTCTCATGTTGGTCCAAAGCTGTATGACTTTGTTTCTTTCTGTTAAACACAAAAGAAAATATCTGAAAAACGTGTCAGTGTGTTTTTAGTAGTCAATAACTGGGAGCTTATGACAATTTTGATTGATGACTTTGATCTTTGACCCATAATTATATCCATATGCGACCTTTGACATCATAATTGTTTCCATATGCGAAAACCGGCGCGTGTGAAATCTTTTTTTTTCTTCTTGTCCATACAATAAAAGTCAAAGTGGTCTAATATTGTTTGGACCCCAGTGACTTGTAAAAATCTGTTTTGTGTCCACAGAAAGAAGAAAGCCAAACAGGTTTTAAATGATATGAGGGTGATCTGATGACACTTTCTTGTTAACTATATCTTGCAGCATGAAAATAAATTTAAAAAGGGAAAAAAAAGGAAAATACTTCTTGAAAATAAATTACTTGTCTGTTAACAACCCCACAATAAGCCCTTTTCATGTGAAATGTAAGGGCCTCCGTAAACAAATCCAAATAATCATACAATCATAATTGTAGGCTTATGTAGACAAAGATTTAAAGCAAAAACAATAAGCAGTTTATGAAACAGTACGATGACATGACACACCGTAGTTTTGTCAAACATATTTTTCTTTTTTACTTGGTGGTTAGTCTTTATTTTACAATTTTTGTCTATTAATGGACAGCCATATGGTAGTGTGTGAACCTGTCACATTTGCATAAATTGACAAAACAAATATTCACAGAGCATATAATGACCTGGAGCTTGACACATTATAGCTGTCTAATCAACGGCATATGTGTTCATGCTTGCACAATACATTTTCCCTTCATCTCCTTTATTCTCTCTAATCAGCAGCATGATATTTGATGTTATGATGGGAAAGCTATAGAAAATGGGTCACAAGCATGAAATGCATAGTATTAATAAATAAGGATATTGTGAACAATTTATTATATGCATGCATCCAATAGATGCAAACAGGCTGAAACATATATGCTTCAGGTGAAGGAAAAAAAAATGTGCCTAATGTGTAGTGACCTAATGCAAATCTTTAAAAACAGCATGCAGTAAAAAAACCATAATAATAATAAAAAAAAAGTCCTTTCTATTTGCCATACAACATCATTTTCAATAAAGGTTTTGAATGTTTTCCAGAAGAATTTGATAACTGTTCCATGAAGAACTTTTAACATCAATGGAAGCGTTTTATTGCACACAGAAGATTCTTTGTAGTGAAAAAAAATGTTCTTCACACTAAGAAAAAAATGACAAGAACTATTCACTGAAAGGTTTGAACCATCACTCAAAATGGTTCTTCTATAGCACTGTTGCAAAAAATAAATAAATAAAACCTTAAAAAAAGAAACACTTTCAAAACCTTTGAGTGTAAGGATAATAGAAAGCAGGATGCATAGAGAAAACACTCCACTTTCTCCAAATACTTCTTGTGAACACAGTGGTTTTGTTTATTTGACTCCACTATTATTTGTTATTTCTGGTCATTAAATATTATTAGTCGAGCTACAATTAAGACCTGCATTCCACTTTGAAGTAGCAATTACGAGCATTTTCCTTTTCCTCATTCCAACAGTATTTGTCTGCTACAGGCCATATGGCCACACGTCGGCAAACACTTTCAACATGCATTACTATGCGTCAAGTTTTGCACTGTATATAACACCTATTGCAACATGCTACCATTTTCAAGGCTGCTGATTTTATATCACCTTTCAATTTTTCAACACCTTTCAATTATGAATTATTCTTAAAGCCTGTATTTTGCAATTAAGAAGACATTGATATAAGTCTTTATAACAACAACATGTTTTGTATGGTAAATTTATGCATAATTAGTTTAAGGATACAGTGAGGAGGTCAGGAGTTTGGGAAGCAAAGGTATCATCTTTCAGCACACCTGAGGATGTAATATCCATAGACAAGTTCAGAGGCATTTCGTCTATCAGCTTCAGGGAATCACAGATTCAAATTGAATTACTAGGTTTCCTGAGTTAAAGAGACCAAACTGATTGATGTTGAAGCAAAATGCATCCATGTTCTCTATTCACAGCTACCATTACATTTGATCAAAATCAATAGGATTGTGAAAAGTGTTTTCCACTATGATGTACTCTTAGGCTTTATTTACTGTAATTAACCTGTAATCAGATACAGTAAACAAACCAGAAATGAGAGATTGAAGGAATGTCTCTCCAAAATAATATTTTAGATGGCATCTAAAAAGTGGTCTGATCGGAACAGGTTGCCAAAAAATAAATAAATAAATAAAATAAAATAAAATTAAAATTCTTTTGCCCAATGTGTTTGACCTGGCACAAAATATTAAAATATTATGTATTAAACTGTAATCAGGTACATTAAACAGACAATAAATTAGATTAGATTGAAGGAATGTCATGCATCTGTTGTCATAGGTACATGTGTCTGTTTGCACTACTTAGGTATAGATCTTTAGGATAAAGAGGGGAAAAGTGATACAGAACATACTGAACAAGGATTTTATATGAAGCCATTTAGATCAAAACATGCCTGTACAGAGAGGTGCGAGGTAAATCCTCTCTCCTCTCCACAACCCTTTTCAAAATGTTTCATCACTTCAAAGTGAACATTCAGAAGCAGGTCAAAGACAACATATAATCCCTCAGTATGTGGATTTATCCTCCCTTCTCCTGAGACAGGAAACAGACAGAGAAAATTACTCTGATTGAATGCCTTATCCGAATATGAGCATTATCACACTCATTTAAAGGATGTTAGGCTGGGGATCTGAGACCTGCAAACTCCATTCATACCACAGCGGGTGTGAGTATGTGTGCTGAGATCATGGCATTAAAACAACAATAGTATTCAAGCTGAGCAAACACACTAAGCAAGGCTATAATTCACCAGGCTTTTAAATTATACAGTATGACTCATGTATAAGAATGCAATATTGCTGAATTTCCACCAGTCCTTTCTCGTTTCCTGTTCTGTTTTCTTAATCACTACGAAGTCATCATTATTACACCAACAACAATAATTTATCATCATCATCATCGTTTCTTTCAATAATAACTGTCCTCATCTCAATAACAACCAATCATTACAGAGTGTTTTTTTTTTCTAAACTAACATGTCACCAGAGGGAAGGCACACTCATTTGCAAGGCAAATTCACCATTTTTGAGTTTTCTGGCTCTCAGAAAGAGGGGTGGAGGAGATGTATTTCTCTCAAATACATGAATCGAGAACAATCTTCTTTCGCAATATTGCTGAATTTCCACCAGTCCTTTCTCGTTTCCTGTTCTGTTTTCTTAATCACTACGAAGTCATCATTATTACACCAACAACAATAATTTATCATCATCATCATCGTTTCTTTCAATAATAACTGTCCTCATCTCAATAACAACCAATCATTACAGAGTGTTTTTTTTTAAAGACCAATAGCTACAGACAACAGGATAAAATGAAATTTATAAAGACAACTCTTGGCAGGATGCAGAGTTGAATTAAGCCAGTTGGATATACACGTTATGCAGTGGCCAAGAACACCAGATAATTCAGGAGAAATTAGAATGGTGGATATTGAGGGTTGGCTAAAAAAAATGTTTTGTCACTCCATATATGATAAGCAACAATGATTCATGCCAATAGCAATGTCCACCTTACATAACTAAAGACAAATTGCTTTTGACAGTATTTTCTTTCGACATTGAAAATCGATGATGAAAATCCCATCTTGATTTTAAAAAGTCTTTGGACGTCATCATTCATTAGCCAATGTTCAATTACCACAATCATTAAATCATTTCCACTTAAACCCTATACTAAGTAACCCAACAGATTGACGCACCAAAATAAAAAGATCAAGTAACGCAAGAGCGCAGTGCAAACGACGTTCTCAAATACATGAAGCCATTTCCCAATGATTTATTTCCAGGAAGCCCCAGGTTAATGGATCCTCTCTTCTCTACGTAGTATAAACATCCAATTACTGCTGCTAACTGACTAAGACTTAACTGCTCAACGAAAGATTGGCCATCGGTAAGAAAACATATCCTTTCCTTTTGAAGAATAGAATATGGACATCATAACATCAAAACACAAATCAAGGTT